GTCAAAAGGTCTTGAAACAATATTATCGTCTATCAAAATAAATTTTTAGACAATTAATCGCTCAGCAAAATTTGTTATGGTGACAGGCCTACACATACCTGTACGTTTGTGGGTCAGGAAGTGAAACTTTCACTCAAAATATATCGACAAGACGAAAACGCTCAAGCACCAATTTAACATTACAGTCTAGATGTTCACTAAGACATATTACACCTTGCTCTCTGCTGTCCATTTTATTTTGTTTCTTGTTGTTGTTTTAAATAGTTATTTGAGGAAAAAACAAAACAAAACCGCTGTAAACAAAAGTCAAAATAAGAGCATGAATATTAACATCTAATTTGAATAAGTAAGTCAAAAACCAAACCTTCAACACAGATTTTGAACTTTTTTACATTCTAGTAAATTAGCGTTTATTAGACTAACTTAATTTAAAGAAGCTAAGTGTGCTAAATGTTTCCAGCTAAGATGTTATGTTAAAAATTAGGTTTGCTATTAGCAGAATATTAATTTAACTGACCATCGTCTAGATATCATAATAAGTAAAACACAATAACCTGAAGCTAGCCTGAAAACACAGATTATAATCTAGTTTCATCTGGATTATAATCTGTTCTTCTGCAGCTTCATGGACTGGTGAGGCTGCTGGTCTGAGCTCCTGTCCCTGCTGGTTTCCAGTTTAGTTTTCATACAAACTCTAACTCAGGGGTGTCAAACTCCAGTCCTCTGCTGTCCTGCAGGTTTTAGATGAGCCACAGGGACAAAACACTGGAATGAAACGGCTCCATCACCTCCTCCTGGTGTGAATCAGGTCTCCAGAGCCTTATTAATGACCTAATTATTCTGTTCAGGTGGCTCAGCATTGAGACTGACGCGTGTGCTCTAACTGGACCCATTCCACAGTTAGTGATGTGTTGTAAGTCAGGGTGGGTGGCTCCAGGCCTGGAGGTTTGGTCTCCTGTAACCTGTAGATGTGTCTCCACTTCCACACACCTGAGTCTCCTTACAAGGTCGTCAGCAGGTGAACCTGCTGATTGAAGCGTGTTGGATCAGGGAGACACTAAGCTGCAGGACGCCGGCCCTCCGTTGTTCTAAGTGATGACCTGCATGGCGTTGCGTTGCAGGCGAGCAGCAGCCGTCGCAGGACGATGGTGCGGCGGACATGGCGGCCCTGCTGGTGGATCGGGACGTGGTGAGGCTCACATCTGGCGCAGATTGCTGCATGGAGAAAGTTAAGCTGATTGCAGGCCCAGTTTGATCTGAACATAATCAGTTTGGAGGAAAATCAGCTTAAAGTTTAGAGCAGCGTGCAGACTGTTGGTTCAGGTTTAATCATTAATGCCTCAGCAAACCGACTCGTAATCCAAGTTGTTGTTTGTGCAGCAAATCCTGAACCACATCCTGGACGACGTGGAGTTCTTTGTGACCAAACTGCAGAAGGCGGCCGAGGCGTTCAGCGAGCTGAGCAGGAGGAAGAAGGGCAAGAAGGGCAAGAAGAAAGGGCCGGGAGGTGGCAAATTCAAACATTACTGTATCAATGCAACATATTAGAAATAATTTCAATAAAGATTTTAGACTTTTATTTTGATATACCTTATTTTTTTAAATATATTTGAATTTTGGTTCAAATTTAAAGTTTTTTAATTGTTTGCATTTTGAAAACTATGGAGAATTAGATTTAGTTGATTTTTAAATCCCAACTAAATGTTTTCCATGTTAGTTTTACTAAAGATCAAAATTAGTTATTTTTCATTTTAAAATGTAAACAAAAAAACTTTTTAGACCTTAATTTTAATATCGTTTACTTGGTGCTTTTTTGTATTTTAATTTTAGTTCAACTATTTGTTTCCTAAACTGTCTAATTGTTTTTGTTTTGAGGAAATAACACAAAGAACCAACAATAATTGGCTTTAAGTAAATAAGAGAAAAATACAGCATTCTGACGTGCTGGTGCTCGTGTCGTCCACCAGAGGGCGTCCTGTCCCTCAGGTCCAAGCCTCCCAGTGAAGAAGAGTTTGTGGACTGTCTGCAGAAGTTCAAACATGCCTTCAACCAACTGGTAATTGATTCCAGTCCATTGAAACTGGTTTGGTTCTGATCCAGACTGTAGCCAGAGGTTACTGGTTCTGCAGAACCTTCTGACCGTCTGCTCTGACCCACAGGCGAAGCTGAAGGACCACATTCAGAACCCCAGTGCCGTGGATTTGGTCCATTTCCTGTTTACGCCACTCAGGATGGTGAGTCCAGGAATGACATCACTAACGGTGGGCCTGCTCCAACAGAACCGAGCAGAACTCCAGGGTCTCCCTGTCTCCAGGTGGTCCAGGCGTCCGGTGGTACCGAGCTGGCCCGGAGCGTCCTGGTTCCGCTGCTCAGCAGAGACGCCATCGAGTTCCTTCACGCCGCAGGAACGGCCGAGGAGCGCCACCTGTGGGTGACTCTGGGTGACGGCTGGACCAAGTGCAGGTTAGAACCATGACTCGGTTCTGTTCTATACTGGACCTGGTTCTTTCCAGGTTCTTGGATGTTTCTATATTTGGCTCATATTTCTTCCTGTAGCAGACCAGAGAACAGGATCGATAAATTCCTGGTTCTGGTTCTTCTCAGTATTTCTGTCAGTTTCAGTGAGATTTATTTTATGTTCATATTTGCTTTATGTTCTCAGCAGAAGTTTCTCTCTCATGTTTGTTCAGTCTGAATAATTTACTCTCTTTCCTGATTTCTGTTAAGTAGTTGTTGGAGCCTCTCTGGTCTCTGTCTGTTTCCATGGTTACTGATCTCATGGCGGCCGCTCTGCGTGTTTTCCAGGCTGGAGTGGCCGAAAGACCACTTCTTCCCCCAGGTGGCGCTGCGGTTCCGGGACGGCTGGGAGCCCCCGGTGGTTCCGGCTGTGGCTCCGGGTCGGGAGCAGGAACTCCTGCAGCTGGCCGAGAGCCTGGTGAATGCCGACGCCCGCGGTGCGGCCGACCTGCGGCCGTGTCTGGAGGTCAGTCGATCGGAACCCGCCGGAGGTTATGGTGCCGACGCCCGCTAACGCGCTTCATGTTCTGTGTTTCTGCAGCAGGGGGCGCTGCAGCGGTTTCCTCTGGCTGACGGGTACGCTCTCCATAACTCCGCCTACAAAGGCTTCCAGGTCCTGGACCAGAACACGGCCGTGGCTGCTTTCAAACACGCCGTCAGCCGCCGTGTGGACCGGTAACCGCAGGTCACATGACGCCCTGGAGAACTGGCCCCGCCCCTTGGCAACGCCGCTGCGGCTAGCGCTGCGGCTAGCGCTGCCCCTTCATTAATAAATACATGATGAATCAAAATACGAAAAATATTCTGATGGTTATAATAATCACACTGAACATATTTAAAAATATTGATTAATTTTTATTTACATTTGAAAATTGTAATAATTCTAAATATTTACTGTTTATGTGAAGATAAAGATTAACTGATTAACTTTTCTACACCTAGATTTTAACAGAAAATAACAATTATTAGTTATTCTGACATTTAAGAGTTTATTGGGTTTATTTCTTTAATTGAATGCATTTGTCTTAATTTATAGTTTTTTGGTTAAACTGTAAGTCATTTGTTAAAAATCAAATGTTTTCCTTCATGTATTTATTAATGTTTTAAACTGATGAAGTTTCGTTCTTTCTTTCTTGATTCTGTTCTTCATTTCCTCTTTTCAAACCAGATGATTGGACTTTCCATCTTTAAATCCTTCTGCACTGCAGCAGAAGGTTCTGGGTCAGGTCTGGATCCAGAACCTTCTAAACACAGGGAACATTTCTCCAGGGCGTCAGGCCCATGTTGGGTCTGTTTTGATCCGTTAGCAGACTCTCAGTTGCTCCTGGTATCGGCACTGCTGCAATCCGGTTCTCATCGTGACCCGTTCTGTCCCTCAGGAGTTTGGACGCGCAGATCCGACTGGATCAGAACCTCTTTGCCAAATCAAAGTACGACTTTGTGGCAAGGAACAACACGGAGCTGTCGGTTCTGAAAGACGAACTCCTCGAGGTAAACCGCTAACCGGTTCTGGTTCTGTTCTGGGTCAGAATGAACAGCTTCTTTAGAACACAGAACCAGAACAAACGGGTTCAGGAACCATTTCTAGATCAGGAGTCAGAGCTGATGGGCCCTGGTTCTGTCTGGCAGGTTCTGGATGACCGGAAGCAGTGGTGGAAGGTCCGGAACGGTGCCGGCGCCGCCGGCTACGTGCCAAACAACATCCTGGAACTGACCAGATCCTCGGACCTGACCGGCCGTGGAGACCCGGTCTACAGCCACACCATCCAGGTACCTCACCTTCATCCTCCTCATCATCATCCTCATCATCATCATTATCATCTTCATCCATGTTTCGTTTCTCTTGGCTGAAGCTCATGATGCCAAAGAAGGAGTTTGAGTTGTTTAAGGTAGGAAGAGCCGGACTCCGGTTCTGATGCTCTGGTTCTGATGCTCTGGTTCTGATGCTCCGGTTCTGATGCTCCGGTTCTGATGCTCCGGTTCTGCTTCCTGGTTGCTTTGCTGTGGGTCTCTTAAAGGAACAGTCCCTCATTTCTGGTCATTTGGGTCAGATTCATGTCTTCATCTCTCTGTATCTCAGAACCATCATTAAGGGTCAAACCGGGTCTTTACCCGACCCAGTTATTCTGGTCCTTTTCCAGATTTTCTCCAGAATGTTCAGCTCAGAGTGATGGTGGTTCTGACCCGCTGGGATGATCAGAACATTTTGGGTTTAGCCAGTTTCTCCGTCCGATCATAGTCAGTCTGTGTCCTCTGCTAGATTACTTCCTGTTTTCTGTCCAATCAGAACCCAGTAGATTCAACCTCTGGCTCTGGAGGAACTGGACCTGAAGGTTCTGTGAACTGGCCCACGTGAAGTTGTGACCCACAGCTGGTCATTTCCCATCAGAACCAGTGTAACCAGTTGGTCCAGAGGACCGGTTCTGGTTCTGTATCTGTGCAGATTGTTGGACTGTTCCTTTAATCGGTTGGAGCCTCGGGTTGCTCAGCCTGGCAGAGAAAAACGGGTTTTAGAAAAACTCTTAGCAAATATTTAACTCCAAGCTAAACATTTAGTTTCGAGTTAAATATTTAATTCAAAGGCTAAATATTTAACTTTCTAACCCTATATAGAAAGCTAACTATTTAGCATTTATAAATTAACTTTGTAAAATTAAAAACACAATGTGACTTATGAACCCTGATTTTTTTTCTCTTCTGACTAAATAACCCAAATTATTGCTGTGAGTTTTTGACTGTGACCCTGCAGATGGTTGCTACAGTAGAGTCCCTGCTGGTCAGATTTAGTGAGTTCATGGTGAATAAAACATGTTTTATCTTCTGACCTCCATCTTTGCTCCATTTCACCTCAGCAGCAGTTACTGGGAGAGTTAAACGAGGTAAACCATCATTTCCTCATCGTTTGGGACAATCCCAGAGATCTAATAACTCATTTATCAGAGTTATTAGATCTCTAACAAAATCCTGTTTTTGATTTTAACTTGATCAGGATGTTTCATCTGCTGGTTTTTATTCCTGGACTGGATCAGGCTAAAGCTGAGCAGCTGAGACTTGCTAACAGGAAGTTCTGAGTTTCTGATCCTGATGAATATTATCACATTAAGGTTGTATGAATATGACCAAAGCTGAAAACATTTAATGTGACATCATCCATGTCATGAAAATGAGTAACAATTTAAGGTAATTTGTTTAAAAGGCTCTAAAACTGCGGCCATTTTGAAAAATGTCCTTCCTGAAACTCAAGTGGCTGATGGGAAATCTGAAAAGCATCCAACCTGAATGGTTAGCATGCTAATGTTTATGCTAGTACCTACATATTGTTACAGTGATGAGCTCCAATACGAAGTAGGAATAGTTTCCTCAATTTCAGGTTTTAAGGCGGACCTTTACTGTGACCTTTGAACTTCTGATAAAGCTCCAAACATCAGGAAGAACCAGACACTAAGGCGGTTCTGTTCTCCTCCAGAAACAGACCGCAAAGTCTGACCCACCTCCTGATAAACCTCAGATGTCCGAGGTCCCGTCGCCGCCCGCTCCCAACCGGCTCCCCACTCCGCCACTTCCTCCCCCTGCCGCAGAACCTGGCAAACCGAGCAGCGCCGCGCTCAGCCGCAACA